TAATCCTGTTTTAAATTTCAGCAAGCCTACACATACCAGTGAAGGGCTACTATAACAAGCAGAAGAAATGCAGTTCTTAGTGTTCCCTGCAGCAGCTACTAGCAGAGCAGCTAAATCACCCCTATTCACCAGTGTGCTTAAATCTGCTGCCTGAGACACACAGAGCTGCCATTGAACTTTTGGAAGATAGTTTTATAAACCTCTAGAAATAGCAAGCATCTCTGTAACCACCTGCTGGGTTATGACTATAGTCTTGGGAGACTGCTCACATTTTCTGCAAAACTTCCTTGCAACACTTTGCCTTATGTTTCACAGATATGATCCATACACCATTGAATCAAAGTTTGCCCGAGTCATTAGTTTTCATGATCCCAAAACCAATCACCCAGAGTTGTTTGAAAGGCACCATTCATTTGACAATGTGCAGCATCAACAAACCAATCTAAATTGATCCTTTACTGTATGTTCAAGCAAATGTGACTTTTGGCAGAGGAACCATTAGAGCAGTTGAATGTATTATTTGAGGTCATTCCAGAAATTCTTCTTGCCTTCAGTTTTGCTGGGGCAGACATAAAAGGACTGCCAGGCAATCCAGTACATTAGAGCAAGAGAAAACCAAAGGTTTTCTTTAGATGGTGCAAGTCCTTTGAGAAATATGTACTGCACAGCACTCCGTATCTCAGGCTGCAGGGTCTCCTCGGAGCTGTCCAGGATTCTGATCTGCCAATCAAGGACCCTGGTCAGCTCCTTGTGCGCCTTACAGGCTGAACTACAGTTGTTCTCAGCAAAAGACCAGCCAGAAGCTGCCCCTTTCTGATGGCTCTGCCCCCTGGAAGAGCTGTCTGCAACCCTTAAAGGGCCTGTAGCTGATTCTGGAGTCACATACTCCTATGTGACTTTGAAGCAGGAGAAGGTATAAGGCAGTCATCCCCAGACCAGGAACGTATAGTACAGGAGGTGTTGAGGCCTTCCCTCTTTGGAGTGGGGTGATCTGTGAGTTGTCCAAATCTGAGTCTACCTTGGGGCCACAGCAAACCCAGATGCAAGGCAATTGATAATAGAGAATTGTTGTGTTTATACTGCAAGAAGATCAGACCTCTCCATTCTTAATTAATGCTAGAGAACATTACACGGTCGTTGCACGCACACTTCCACACCCGCAACTACTGAATAAAACTGTAAGTGAAGTACACCTATGCTAATCCAACACTCAAGAGACAAAATATTTTTGTTGTTGGAAAAATGGAATACAAATATTAAATCAAATCAAAACCTGGGGAGCAGGGTGAGCATACACACAGGTCACTAGGGTGAGGTGGGTCGCAATTCCATCTAAATTTAGTTACGTCTAAATGTATCTCTCTATAGTTAGCCAGTGCGGCATAGTGGTTAGAGTGCCAAACTAAGACTTGGGCGAGACTGGGGCTCAAATCCCCACTTGACCATGAAGCTCTCTGGGTGGCCTTGAGGTATAGCATCTGCTTCTCTCAGACTAACCTACCTCACAGGGTTGCTGTTTTGGGATTTAAGAGAAGAAGAGGAGAACTACGTATGACACTTTGAGCTTCTTGGAGGGAAAGGTGAGATATACAGTGGTACCTCTGGATGCGAATGGGATCCGTTCCAGAGCCCCATTCACATCCTGAAGCGAACACAACCTGCGTCTGCGTGGGTCGCGATTCGCCGCTTCCGCGCATGCGTGTGACGTCGTTATGACAGTCTGCGCATGCGCGAGCAGCAAAACCCGGAAGTAACGCACTCTGTTACTTCCAGGTCGCCATGGAGCGCAACCTGAAAATACTCATCTTGAAGCTACTTCAACCCAAAGTATGACTGTAAGTGCAACAAATAAATAAATAATAAATGCATATAAATTGAAATAGGTGCGCATTTTATGCAGGTCAGCATAACTTTTTGTCCCCTTTTTAATGACACCCCTCCCCCTTAAAAGAACACCCTGGCCATGGGCTGTCCCCTTCATGAGAGGATGAGGAACAACACAGGATGGGAGCGCTGCTGATGTTCCTCTCACCCGTATTCTTGAGGGAAAAGGTAGAAAGGATGCATGTGGGAACCTTAAGTGCTGTAGGAGGCAAATCACCATATCTGTGACCTTTTATCAGCTGGCAAAATATTAGTAGTCAGTAAGTGGCGCAGTTGTTGTGCTGACTCACAAAATGTGATTTTTCTCAAGGAAACTCATACCACTGTCAAGCCAGGTGTCCCCCATTCTATAATTGTGCCACTAGTTTTTCCTGCCTAAGTGCCTAAGTACAGACATTTTTCCCCATTGAACTTTATTTTGTTAGTTTGGGCCCAGTTCTCCAATCTGTTAAAGTCATCTTGAATCCCGTTGCTGTCTTCTGCAGCATTAGCTACCCCCACCCCCAGTTTGGTATCATCTGTAGATTGGATACACATCCCCTTAATTTCTTCATCAAAGTCTTTTTATACATTGAACAACAACAGGACAGAACCCCGAAGCACCTCTGTTTTAACTTTCCCCCAGGATGACAAGAAACCAGTGACAAATCCACCCAACAGTTACCTTATCCCATGAGAAGTCCAGAGGGCACGAAACAAGAACGGGCCTTTTCTGTGGTGGCTCCCTGCTTGCGGGATGCTCTCCCCAAAGAGGCTTGCCAAGCACCTTCATTACATATCTTTAGGTATCAGGAAAAAAAACATTCCTCTTCTCCCAGGCGTCAGCTAATTAAGCAATCTATGGCTTTTAAACGGGGGGGGGGTAATTGTTTTTGTTTGTCATGGTATGCATTTTTTGCATTTTTATATTGCAAATCACCCCGTAAGCCTTAGATGAAGGGCAGAAATTTAAATAATAGATCAAATAATAGAAATGGAATAAATTAACAACAACGCAGATCTCTAAGTGTCCCTATTTTCCAGGGACGTCCCTGATTTAGAGAAGCCGTCCTGGTTTCTGAATTGATCCTGGGATGTCCAAATCTTCCTTAAAGGTAAAGGGACCCCTGACCATTAGATCCAGTCGCAGACGACTCTGGGGTTGCGGCACTCATCTCGTTTTATTGGCCGAGTGAGCCAGCGTACAGCTTCCGGGTCATGTGGTCAGCATGACTAAGCCACTTCTGGCGAACCAGAGCAGCACACGGAAATGCCGTTTACCTTCCCACCAGAGCGGCACCTATTTATCTACTTGCACTTTGACATGCTTTCAAACTGCTAGGTTGGCAGAAGCAGGGACCGAGCAACAGGAGCTCACCCTGTCGCGGGGATTCGAACCGCGACCTTCCGATCGGCAAGCCCTAGGCTCTGTGATTTAACCAAATTAACAAAAACAACACAGACCTCCAAGTGTCCCTATTTTCCAGGGACGTCCCTGATTTAGAGAAGCCGTCCTGGTTTCTGAATTGATCATGGGATGTCCCAATCTTCCTTAGGACGCCCCTATTTTCATGGGGAAAATAATGGAGCGTATGGAGTTATCCAACTCCTGAGCCATCTGAAGGCAATCCTGTCTAGGGAAGGTATTTTTTAAATATAATATAATATAATTAAATTATTAAAGGTAAAGGTACCCATGCCCATTAGGTCCAGTCGTGGCCGACTCTGGGGTTGAGGCGCTCATCTCGCTTTATTGGCCGAGGGAGCCAGCGTACCGCTTCCAGGTCATGTGGCCAGCATGACTAAGCCACTTCTGGCGAACCAGAGAAGCACACAGACATGCTGTTTACCTTCCTGCCGGAACGGTACCTATTTATCTACTTGCACTTTGACTTGCTTTTGAACTGCTAGGTTGGCAGGAGCTGGGACCAAGCAGCGGGAGCTCACCCCGGCACGGGGATTCGAGCCGCCGACCTTCTGATCGGCAAGTCCTAGGCTCTGTGGTTTAACCCACATCGCCACCTGTGTCCCTTAAGGAAGTCAGATGAGCCTCAACCAGAGCCAGGGCCTTTTCAACTCTGGCTCCGGCCTGGTGGATCGCTCTGCCTCATGAGACCAGGGCCCTGCAGGATCTGATTTCTTTCCGCAGGGCCTGTAAGACAGAGTTGTTCCGCCTGGCCTTTGGCTTGGAGCCAATATGATTCCCTCCCCCTCTTTCTTTTTCTTTTCCTTTCTCCTCCTGCGATGAGGTTTCAATATTTTAATGTTGTATTTTAATTTTGTTTTTAAGTTGTATTCATTCAATTTGTTTTTATTATTGCTTGTTAGCCGCCCTGAGCCCGGCCTTGGCTGGGGAGGGCGGGGTATAAATAAAAATTATTATTATTATTCTTAAAATATTTAATATTATTATGATTAAATATAATAATGTTTAATTCTGTTTTTTTTATATGTTGGAAGCTGCCCAGAGTAAAATTATCAGTGTAAAATGGGACATCCCTATTTTCATTGGAGAGTATGACAACAACAACAAGAAGAAGAAGAACAACAAAACAACAACAACAACCACAGGGGGGTCGTGGGGAAAAAAATCACCTGGTGACGTCACGCCCGACCCCCCCCGACCCCCCTTCCCTTTTCTCACCTGCCTGCGCTTGAAAGGCTCTTTCGGGGGCATGTCTGCGGCTCTCCTCCCTCGGCGGCGGTGGTCGCCCGACTCTCTTCCTTCACTATTTCAAATCCTCCTCTCTTTCTTTTCACGCCCGGCTTTCGTCGGCCAGCTGCCGGAAGTTGATCTCGGCTTCCATGGCAACCGAACGGAAGTGGCTGCCGCCGCCGCCGCCGCCGGTGCTCCTTTCGACCACAGAGGTTGACGAGAAGGCGCGCCCGCCTGAGATTGGCCGCCTCCACCGTCCGTCTGCCTCCGTCCCCGAGTTGGAAGGTCAAAGAGCCAATGGGCGGAGAGATGGACTCCTGAGGAGGGCGAGGTCCCGCCCGAGGGAGAGCGAGCGCCGCACCGTCACGCAACCCCGCCCCTCTGATGAATATGCAAATGTGGTGGGCGGGGCGCGTGACGGGGCTGCCGGAGAGCCTCCAGGGACCGGAGCGGCGCTTCCCCCCTCCCCCCCCGAGTTCGCGCGTGCGCACTGAGAGGGCGGAGTCACCGCGGCCGGCTGTGAAGGGTTTTTCTGAGGCGCGTCTCCTTCTCCTTTCCTCGCTCGGAGCATCTCTGAGGGGATGAGGCAGGCGGCGGCGGCGGCAGTGGCGGAGGGCGAGCCCCAGCGACACTGAGGGGCGGCGGCGGCCGGGCCTCCTTCTCCTCCTCCCCTCCCTCCTCGTCCTCTTCCAGCTGCCGGTTCTCGCCCGCCCTCCGCCCGCTCGGCCTTCCCGGCCCGGCTCCCTCTCCCGCCGGCACCATGATGGAGGAGATCGACCGCTTCCAAGTGCCCGCCGTGAGAGCCGAGATGCAGCCGCTGGTGAGTCCCCTCAGGAGCCGCCGTTGAGAATAATGGGGGGGGGGGAGCTAAGTCGCCTCTTTCCAACCCCCCCCCTCATGATCTTCTCTCTGAGGGGGGGGACATGACCGCAGGCACCTGCTGCTCTTTCTCTCCCCCATTATTATTATTATTATTATTATTCCTACACCCCCGCAGGACTCAGGGCGGTTCAATATGAGAAATATTGGGGGGGGGGAATAGGGTGCGAGAAGCCCTTTAAGCCCCCCCCCCCGTTGGAGGAAGGGGCTCCTCACCCCCCCACCCTTAAGGGTCTCGGGGTCGCGCGGCCGCACCTCTGCGGCAGGCTCGGCCCCGGCCTTGGCTGGGGGGGGTGGATGGATGGATGGAGGGGAGACGCCCTTCCAGGCCTCCTTCGCAAAGGACACGGCTGGGGGGGGAGAGGAGAAAGTGATCAGGGGAAATGGGCGGGAGGGGAGAAGATCGTTTATGGGGTGGCTGTTTCTCCAGCCGCACGCAGCAACCCCCCCCCCCCCAAATAGTCACAAAGTGTATTCTTCCTCTTCCTGCCTTGGACACCTTTGGGTGGAGAAACATCCTTTCCCCGTTGCTTTTCCTTGGCCAGGATTTGAACTGAGGTCTCTCCTCTGTGGCCCCTCCTCTTGCTCCCCCCCCCACACCCGCTCTTCAAAAGCTGCGTTTTTTGATGGTGGGGTGATTGACCTGCCTTTGCTCCCACCAACGCGCCCCCCCCAAAAATGCCCAGGTGAAAAGTATGGCATAAGGGGAGCTGTAGTCCCAAGGGTCTCTGGAGAAGCTTTCTTCAGGAGTGTGCTTTTTGGGGGGGGGTATAGTTTTCGGTGAGAGTGTTATGAAGCATTGCTTAGAGATCTCACTCCAGTGGATGTTAGGATCCCAATGGAGCCCCGAGAAGCCCAGTGCCCATCTCAGGTGCACAAGGTCAGGGTCAAGGCAATTTTATTTTTAAAAGATCAACAGAGGCAGAAATCCAAAACGGATATTTTTCTCCGGATTCAAAGGAAATCTTGTCCTTGAGCAGTGGTGAGACTGGTCTCACTTTAAGGCACATTGCTGTGCTGGCATAAGGAGGAACAACATCTGCCTGTGCTAAGGTGTCTCAAACCCCTCCGTAGAAGGAAAGGGGGGCGGGAAGCCCCTTTTGCTATCAACTACTCTTTCTGTTGCAGGGAAGCTGCTTACCCTCTGTTTGCTCAGCTGTTTCTTCTCTGCAGCTCTGCTTACTCTCCCTTTTCCTGAAGGATCCCCCACCTTAGCTTGTTCTCTTAGGTATGGCATGATGATCTCGTGCTCTAGGGATCTGATTGCTCTAGGCCCCTTTCATCAAGAGGCTTATGGAAGCCTCTCTTGCTACTGGCAGGCACGGAAGGGACCGGAACATGACTGGATGTTTTGGGTCCATGTCTGGCTGGCTTGATGACGTAATCCTTTTGTAAGCATGTAGGGGAGAGGGATAAATATTGCATGTCGGTAGCATCTACTGGCAGCAAGAGAAAGAACAGATTTGTTACCATTTGACTGTACCTTCGTGCTCAAATCTGTGTTCAGAATCTTTGCATGCCGAGAATCACTACTAGTCATTTTTGCTCTTAAGAGAATAGCCTCGCTGCATGACCAGAGTTGGTCTAGGAGGGAAAGGTTGCTGTTTCGAAGCCTGGGTTCCTTGCGAGATGTGATGGGTTAAATTAGAAGCGTAGGGTTGTGTGGTAGGTTGCTGTCCCTTGAAATGGTTCTGAAAGAGGCTTAGGCAAACAGTTTTCAGAGATGCTGCCTCCCGCCCAAAGATTCCATATGTAGAGCAACTTCTGCGCACCTCCCAATCAGGGGTTGACTCCCTTATTGTGGGGTTGATAAAATGTCACCACCATGTCATGGAGTTCATTTTACAGAAGGTGAAAATTGGTTTCTTTGCATTCCCTCTCCTTTCTCACTGACTGTTCCATATAGTGATTACCAGGCTTCTTGTTTCACATACTCCCTGACACACACACACCCTTCTGATTCCTACTGATTTGTTTATGCTTCTTAAACCCAAGCCATTCACATTGTTTACATTATATTTTAAATTACTACAAGGCCTTGTGCTGCAGCTTCTGGGCACCTGCAGTACTTCCAACCATTTTGTTCCATCCTCTACACTCACTTTCTCTTTCTGCATGTACATACATCATTAGTAAGAGATTCTATCCCGTTTTCCAATCAAGGGCTCTTTGTCATCTCTCAGATAGTTTGTAAACACTAATTTGATACAGAGAGAGAAGCTAATAACCTATTGGGTGTGGATTTCCTATCTTGTAGTTTAAAACACAGCTCATAGTAGTCATTTGAATATTAGGGAATCAGAGGGAGTGTCTCCTCATCAGTAATCATTAGTCTGAACATGTGTCTTCATTGGCAAGCCTTCTGTGCTCCTGTTTGGATGTAACTTTCTTCCCCTTTTCTGTTATACTGTGTTATTTTCCTCTGCAATGTTAAATGCTAAATGGAGATTTGGCTTCTTTTGGCCTGCATTAGTCTTATGAAGTTCTTCTAGTAGTTTTAATTATTTGTCTATTTGCTGACCAGCCTTTAATTGTAGAGGAATCCTTTAATTGGTTATTCTGGCAGGCTCATGCTTTGCTCAGATGTTTAACTTCCCATACAGTACCTGGTATCCCCATAACAGGTAAAGGTGGTCGGTAATGTCTTGGCATCAGGGTATGTTTCACTCTCTGATCTTGAAGACTCATGAGTGGTGCAGTAACAGTTCAGCAAAATGTCACATTAACTGGAGCCATACAGATCGAGTGCCTTGAAGCACTGTGTCTATTCCCCCTTCTTAATTAACCATATGCAGTTCGTCATCCTTGCAAAAATCTACCCTTGTTCATGAAAATAGTGGCAAAGGTGTTGCTTAAACATGAATTTTAGTTTGAGATTGCATTATGAAAATGTTATGGCTTGAATTATTCAGTTGTCATTATTTGAGGGGGAAACCAGCTTGCTGGTTCAACATCAGAGACCTTGGGACATGGGATGAATCTTTTTTCTACTCTAGTATCCAGGTTATGCAACTCTTTCCTTAGAGAAATGTGTCTGGATCCCTCTGTTCTAAGCAGGAGTGGGGAACCCTTTTCAGCTTGAGAGTCACATTCCCTACTGGTCAATGTTCTGGGGGCCACATGGGGGGGTGGGCAGGGCCAGAGGCAAAGTGGGAAGAGCAGCACAGGTAAATGTTACCTTGGGGCAGTAAGCTGGTTTCTTTCTATACTCTTTTTTTTATTCCAGTCATTAATGAGGTTTAAAGGCACATTCCAGCCAGGCAAAAATACGCAAGGATTGTGGGGAGCAGGGATGTTGAGAGGGGGCATTGTCTGGAGAGTGTTTCCAGGAGCAGCCAGAGAGGCCTGGTTGGTCTCATTCAGCTGCCAGTCCTGCAGTTTCCCACTTCCACTTTTCAGCTTCAGGCATGCTGCTAAAACCTTTTATTTTTTTCATGTTTTAATGTGCTTTGGTGCTTTTATCTTCCTTCTTTAAAACTTGTGTTGACCCACCCTTGTTCTATCATTTTATTTTTTTAAAAAAAGATCTGATTGTAATTACTTTTAATGTTTTTGTAAGGTTCTTTGAATCTATTTATAAAGAAACGTGGAATAGACACATTTGGCTGAATTCAACTAACCTGTTCTGTTAGTGGAAGCCAATGCAAGGACCCGTGCTAGGACAATAGGGTTTCACCCCCTCTCCAACCCCATGCCTCCTGCAAAACTGCGCTGGAAGGTCAGAACATTGTACAGCAGGAGGAAAGGGGAGATTGTTTCTGATAGCATTTCTCTAACAGTGATGGAACAATCTCCCTAGTGCTTGGTTGTATTCTATACTTTAACATTAAAAAAAGGAAGAGAGAATAAAGTGGCAATGGAGATGTCAAAGAATATAAGTGTTGTGCAGCCCACAGAAACACCTGTACCTGCCTTGGAATCATTGTTGGGATTTGCTTTATTTTGCTTCTTTAGCAAATATAGCTATCATATTTTGAATTTTTGTTGCTACAAGAATATAAAACTTCTTAAGAGAAGCTATGCCATGATTTTTGCGAAGGGTCTATTCCATAGCTGCAAAATTCACAAACTATTCAGCGAAGCATGTTATATATTCAATCTGCTGTCTGCCCTTGTGGTCAGTTTCTCTTGATATTCTGTGAACTTTGTTTTACATTTTCACTCTGGCTATTGGAAAATGGCTTTTCAGCCCCTGGATAAGAACCTCTAATGTGTATAACATCTTGCGTGCTCTCATCTGCAGTCCTTGGAAATTTGGAGTACAGGCAGAAATGAATTTTAGATATTTGTGCAAATAGCAGATAAAACTGAAGCTCTTAGTTGTGGCTCATAAAGCATGAGATATAATCACTGTTGCCTTTCTTAGCTTTCCTTAATGTCTTCATGTCAATAAATACCTCTTCTCATCGATACAGTGTTTTGTGTGCGTAAAAGTGCGAGTGTGCATATTTTCTCTTATAGCAAATAGGACTTTAAGGGAAAAAAGAACAACCTCCAGAAGTTACCAGTTTTGTAAGCAGGAGCTGGCAGAAGTCGGGTCCCCAAGGACTGGGGGTGTCCTGAGGGAAGAATGCAGGTTGATAGAGGCTACTCTTGATTTTTCTATGAGTCTGCCTTCTCACATGGGGGACCCGTAGAAGGAAAGGTATTGTGCTTGCATCTTTATGCCCCTTTGATTTAGCAGCATCAGGTCTGCTCTTTTGTTGGGAGCACACTCCATAGTGCTTGCTTATTTTGGTAACAAGCCTTAATTGCTTGTTCTCTTCTCTGGTCCCATCCATGCAGAACACTTCAGCATCTTTGCTCTTCTCTCTCTCTTCCCCACTCCTCCTCCCAGAAGATGGAGGAGAAAGATCACCTCTTAATCAAGGCACAAGTGCTCTTGCAAGTGAAGTGGCAGGTGGTGGCAATCCTATGCACACTTGGAAAGGAAGACTAATT